AATCTCTGTACTTCCTTTCAATTTTGCTGTGAGCCTAAAACTGCCCTAAAAAAGATAAAGTCTGGGGCGCCTGGGTGGCTCAGTTGTTAAGCGTCTGCCTTCAGCTCAGGTCGTGAACCCGGGGTCCCGGGATCGGGTCCCACATCAGGCTCCTTGCTCAGCCAGGAGCCTGCTTCTCCCTCTGCCTGCTTGTGCGCTCCCTCTCTCTGTGTCAAATAAATAAATAAAATCTTAAAATAAAAATAAAAATAAAAATAAAAAAGATAAAGTCTTAGAAAAAAGATTGACAACTCCCTATAAAAGACTGATAAGAGAAAGAAAAAAAAACCCAAACTGCCAATATAAAAAATGAAATGAGATATACCATTACAAATCTTACAGAACCCCAAATCATAAGGAACACTTATGAACAGCTTTAGCCAATAAATTCACCAACTTAGATCAAATGAACATTTTTTGGGGAAAAATACAACATACCAAAACTGACACAAGACAAAATAGAAAATGTGACTGGCATATTAGCAAAGAAATTGAATATGTTATTGAAAGCCTCTTCACAAAGAAAACTTCAGGCACAGAGCCTTTCACTGTTAAATGTATAACACACTGAAAAAGGAATTAATACACAAATTTCATCAGAAAATACAGAAAGGAATACTTCACTCATTTTAGGAGGTCATCAAAACCCTGATGCCACAACTTGATAAAGATATTACAAGAGAAGTATTTAGAACAATGTCTCTCATGAACATGTATGCAAAAATGATACAAAATATTAATAAATCAAAGCCAGCAATATAAAACTAATAACCCATACTTACATTTTCAACTGCTTTTTTCCCCTAATGAAGCCCCAGCTCCTTTCCTCCTCAAATGATTTTTGACAAAGGTGTCAAAGCAACTCAATAGAGAAAGGAAAGTTGTTTAAATAAATGATATATCCACATGGGAAGAAGAAAAAAAATGAACTTCAATCCCTAGCCTATACCACACACAAAAATGATTTTAAATTAGATCATAGACTTACACATAACTAAAACTATAAAACTTCTAGGAGAAAACATAGGGGCATAGGCAAGAGTTTCTTAGACAGAATACAGAAAGTAATAAGTACGACCAAAGAACTCAATAAATTAGATTTGTGAAAACTGAAAACTTCTGTTCATTAAAAGACTTCAAGAACACAAATCAGGGGTGCCTGGCTGTCTTAGTTGGAGGAGCATGTGACTCTTGATCTTGGGGTCATTAGTTCGAGCCCCATGTCAGGTATAGAGACTACTTAAAAAAAAAAAATAAATGTTTTATTCATTTATTTGAGAGAGGGAGCAGAACAAGAGAGAGAGAGCACAAGCAGGGGGAGAAGCAGAGGGAGAGGGAGATGCTGACTCCCTGCTGAGCAGAAAGCCAGACTCGGGGCTCGATCCCAGGACTCTGGGATCACAACCTGAGCCAAAAGTAGATGCTTAACCGACCGAGCCACCCAGGTGCCCCTAAATAAATAAACTTCTTAACAACATCACACAAATCAGTAAGCCACGGTCTGGGCTTTGCAAAAAATATTTGCAAAACATGTACCTGACAAAAGGCTTTTATCCACAATATGTAAAAAGCTCCTACAATTGAATAATAAAAAGACAACCTAATGGGCAAAAGACTTTAACAGGCTCTTCACAAAGATACCCAGATGCCCAACAAGTATATGAAATGGTGCTCAACAGTGTTAATCACTAGGGAAATGCAAATTAAAACCACAATGAGATACCAGTAAACCCTTGCTAGAATGGCTAAAATAAAAGTCTCGCAACAACCAATGTTGTAAGCACAGGGAGAAATCGTATCTCTCACATACTTGTGGGAATGTAAAATGATACAATCATGTCAGAAAAAAGGTTTGACAGTTTTCTAGAAAGTTAAGCCCACCCTTTAGCCCAGAATTCCTCACCGAGGTGTTCATCCAGGAAATATGGAAACACATCTCCAAAAAAAAAAAAAAACCCCAAAAAACCTGTACACCCAGGTTTACAGCAGTTTTATTCACAACAGCCAAAAAGTGCAAAAACCCAAATGCCCCTAATCAGGAGAGGAGATGAGAAATTGTAGATTGTACTAAGTTAAAGATGCAGATTGTAATCCCTAAAGCAACCACTTAAAAAAAAATACAAGAGACGCGGCTAAAAAGCTAATAGAGGAGTACTCCCTAGGTATTATTAATACAAAAGGATGAACTCCGATATACACAACCCCCAGGTGAATCTCCAAGTCATTACACTGAGTGAAAGAAGCTGTATCCAAAAGAGTACAATGATGTAGAACAGACAAAACTAACCCAAGGTTTAAAAGAAAAATCAGATCAGTGTAGAGGGGGCAGGAACCGAGGGGAAATGGACAGGCAGGAACTTTCCAGGGAGGTGGACGGACACATTCTCCATGAGAACAGGGTGTGCGTTCCATGGAATACCCATTTGTCAATATTAGACAGTCAAGATTTGTGCATCTACGGTATGTAAATTTTAACCTGAAAAACTGTAAAAATATAATCATGGAGTGGAGGGTTAGGGGCGTGTGGGTATAAGGGGCACAAGATGGCAGAGTAACGATCACTGTAGAGCCCGGTGACAGCTGCACCCGGTTCATTATACTGTGTGTTGATTTTGTAGATGTTTGAATTTTCCATACCAAAAAGTTAAATAAAAAACCCACCTGGCAAACAGTTTGCAGCTCCAAAGGGTAAGTGCCAGCATATTTTATCACTGCCTTCCTTCACAAGCTCTGCTTTGCTATGCTAGCAGCCCTTGGAGATGAAAACAGTAGGTCGGGTGGTCCCTCTAGAAAGTGTGAGGCTGGATCTGAGTGACCCCTCCACCTGGCAGAACAGGGGCCAGCCAGTAGGGGAAGCGAGAGGGCTGGCCCCGCGGATAAGGGCACCAACCAGCCACATTCAGTGGGAAGTTTGGGAATCCCTAAATTCTGCTGGTCAGGCTCCTCGTTGACGGCAGTCCCCTGAGACCCCCTAGACACACTCTCGTAGGTCTATGTGCAGGTCTGCGCTTCTGCTGTGAACTCGAACTTCAACAGGAACTGGGTGGGAATCATTCAGTGACTGTCTTCCCCGCTTGCTCGATCAGCTTCATTTGTCCTCTCTCCCGTTTCTCTGCCCAAGGCCAGGGCCTGAGCATTCTTTCCCTGACTCCCTTCATCTGTGGCCACTCTCGACTGGGTCCCAGGGGCCTCAGGATGGCCAATAAAAAGGAGAGAGGCCTCGAATACGAGCCATCGCCCAGCTTGGTGAGGTTGGCCCCAAGCTCCCGTAGCTCAGAAACACACCCAGTGTGTTGTTTGTAAGCCTAGCACGTTTCATTGGCCATCTGGTCCCAGATGAAGACACACTTGAGGAATGAAGTGGGCAAGCGAGGCTTCACTGGATCGTGGGGAAGGCACAGTGGACCTGGGGACGCTGCTGGGGACACTCAGCAGGGGAAGCTGGTGCGAGGTGCCGTGCCCCCCCCCCCACCCCCCCCCCCCTTCCCCCCTCAATCCCCGAGGGGGGCCTCAACCGGGAACAAATGGCCCATGAAA